ATGACTGTTGCGTTGTTTTTAACACTTTTCGGCAAAAGTATTCGTGGCATTTATCAGGCTTATAGGAATTTCTGTTGCATATCAAATCAAGGAAAAATCAAACGGATAAATGGTCCAAGCTTTGTTTACATCTATCTATCTCAGCCTATTCATATCTATCTATCTATCTATCTATCTATCTATCTATCTATCTATCTATCTATCTGTCTGTCTATCTATCTATCTATCTATCTATCATATCTATCTATCTATTCATATCTATCTATCTATCTATCTATCTATCTATCTATCTCAGCCTATTCATATCTATCTATCTATCTCAGTCTATTCATTATCTATCTATCTATCTATCTATCTATCTATCTATCTCAGTCTATTCATATCTATCTATCTATCTATCTATCTATCTATCTCAGTATCTTCATATGTATATATGCATCTGTCTATCAATCTCTCTATCTCTGTTCATATCTATCTATCTATCTATCTATCTATCTATCTATCTATCTATCTCAGTCTATTCATATCTATCTATCTATCTATCTATCTATCCAAGTTTATATCAATCTCATCTCACTGTCAGCCTAATCAACCCATCACACGGACAAACACACACACACACACACACACACACACATATATATATATATATATATATATATATATATATATATATATAAACTTTTCTGCCTCAGGAGTAGTACTCTGCGCCTTATTCGCCTAACGTTTTCAAGAAAATCAACTGGAATGAGTTCATCGAATCAAAAGCTGCATTTTATTGCAAGGAAAGTTGGGTCACTTTGTCACGTCAGAATTTTTTTTTTTCGTCCATCTTGCACATTTAAAAATCTACCATTCGTCTGTGCATTGAATACTGCTGCCATATCTGGTCTGGTGCTACTGCTATTAATCTTGAGGTTTATGACAAAGTCCAAAGAAGGATCTGCTATGTAGAAGACCCTGACTTGGCATTTTTGACTTCGGTCAAGTTTCTCACCATCAGGGCGTGCACTTTCTCTGTCTTTTCTACAAATATTTTCAAGGCAACTGCTCACTTTCACTCTCAGTAAACCCCTACGTACGAGTGGCATTTCCACCTTGCTTCACGTTGAAATATATATATATATATATGATAGAAATTAAGCAGGATTTGAGATAATTAAATAATTCATCGAGTCTAGAAGAAATCTCAAAAGAATGCAGAAAGAACTGGACGGCAGTTTCGTCCTATATTTGGGACTCATCAGCAGTGCGCATCCACAACAGAGAATTGAAACCCGGATAGTTACATTGACAGGCAAACGTCATACCAACTGTACTAACAGGCCTCGGTGACGAGTAAATTTAATATAAGTAGGAGCCGCTGGTTTTAAAAATCTCTTTTTCTCTTTCTTTCTTTCTCTCTCTCTCTCTCTCTCTCTCTCTTTCTTTCTTTCTTTCTTTCTTTTTTTTTCTCTCTCTCTCTCTCTCTCTCTCTCTCTATATATATATATATATATATATATAAGCAAATATATGGATATAAATCCGACAGTATGAAGAAAAATATATACGGAAAAAAACAAACAAAAATCCTTATATACAATTATGCTGTTTTAATGTTAATATGTCAACGTCGGAAGATGGTTTATTTGACCGAAACGTCCGACGTTGACATATTAAACATAAAACAGCATAATTGTATAAAGGATTTTGTTTGTTTTTTCGGTATATATTTTTTCATATATATATATATATATATATATATATATATATATATATATATATATATATATATATATATATATCAAGAGAATAGAATCCAGGTAAAACTCAATGTCTTTTTGAATTTGTAGGTCTGATGAATTGGATCGTGATTACGATTCCAATGTAATAAATTATAACCATGGAATATTAGTGTTTGATCTTATATATATATATATATATATATATATATATATATATATATATATATATATATAGAGAGAGAGAGAGAGAGAGAGATGCATATACAAATAAATAGATAAGAAGATATATATTCACATATATCTTTTATTATATTATATTAATAATAAATATACATTTTTCTTCATAGGTAATACAACTGAGTTTTATGTTCGACACAATCTTCAGGTGCTGAGTTAAAACTGTCCGTTGTCTAATTAAATTTATTTTGAATAAATGTATCTTTATATTAATTAAAAGAATCTGTTCAATGATTAATACCCATTTAACTTTGAATAACAGTCACTTGTTTTTAAATAAAAATATCTTAATTTGAATATCGATGAATAAGAGTCACTTGTTTTTAAATAAAAATATCTTAATTTGAATATCGAGCTTAGTGAATCCCTTTGCAATATCTTCCTACGATTTGCTGTCTATCTGATGTCAGTCAGCTTAAATAGTTTCCGGAGGTAGAATATTCCTTGAGAATTGAACTAGATGACGGCAAAGTATATGTGCGTCTGTGTGTATGTGTGTGCATTTGTGTGTCTGCGTGTGTTTGTGTGGTGCGTGTGCACGTGTTTAAACTAAACGTGAATTGCGTTAGAACTCATGCTTCGGTCCGACCTGTACGGGAAAAATATCCCCTTTCAATAATCATGTTATGGGCATGAACAAACACACCTTTTAGCGTATTGGCCACTCACCACCCGGGGTCAACAAGGACTTTGCTTGTGAAAACTACGCAATGTTACATGAACGTAAGCGTCCCGTTGGCGTCAGGTTGTATTTGAAAAGAATACATGCGTGCTCTCAATAAAGGGTAAAGCAACTTAAACTCCCACCAAATCCATAGAGGGAACGGAAAACAATGTTTTTTGTTTTTTTTTTTTTTTTTTTTTTTTTTTTTGAACTAGAAACAAAAAACTCCATTGTGAAAACTATTCAAAGACGAAATGAGGAAAGATAAGATATGTCTTCTTTCTTTTCATCTTCCCAAATTTCACAAGCCAAACATGACGTAGGTTATTTGTTCATTCTTAGTTTCGATGTAGGCACGGTGGGATAATGAATAGAGACCCGCTATATTAAGGAATTGGACAGCTGGTTTCGACTTCAAATCGAGTTCATTACATTCACTTACGCGGTAATAGCACTGGAAAGATATGAATTTATCTCTCCCCTCCCCTCAGCTAGGGTAAATAGTGATTTTCCGAGCGTAGGCCAAAAGTATGGGGTAACCATATTTTCGGACTCACTACTCAGTCGTAATTGTTCTAGCGAGACAAGCTTGCTAATCATTCACCACCTCGAGGTGCCCTCAAGATTTTCCAAGCGTAGCTTAGATGTGGCACAAGGCTGAAAGCGTGGGGCACCCAGTGAGGATCGAACTCACTACTCAGTCATAATTGTTCTAGCGAGACAAGCTTGCTAGCCATTACACCACGCCGAGGTGTCCCAATATATTTTCCAAGCGTAGCTCAGATGTGGCACGAGGCCGAAAGTATGGGGCACCCAGTGAGGATCGAACTCACTATTCAGTTGTAACTGTTTTAGCAAGACAAGCTTGCTAACCATTACACTGCCTCGAGGTGCCCTAAAGATTTTCCAAGCGTATTTACAGGCGCACTTGGCACCACATTGCTAAAAAAAAAAAAAGAGTTCACCCGCTACCCGGTTCCAAGATATACACCTACAACTTATACTCTCCACGATTACAGTCGTAATGCCTGTAGCCCAGTCATAGCTATTTTATTACAAGCGCTCCCTAAATCGTTTCGCAAATCCTGATACTCTTGCAGCCTAATGAACCGAAGAATTGAATGTACGAGCTGAAAAGTTGTTAGATTTTCTTAATTCGATCATCCAACGCCATTTTCCTTTAAACATTGAGAACTTTTATATTCTTTTTCTTTTAATCATTGTATACCTATTGGTAACACACATACACACGTGTGTATATAGTGATTTTCCAAGCGTAGCTTAGATGTGGCACAAGGCCGAAAGTATGGGGGCACCCAGTGAGGATCGAACTCAGTCACAATTGTTCCAGCGAGACAAGCTTGTTAACCATTACACCACCTCGAGGTGCCCCCAGCTATGGTAAATAGCAGGACATATTGGACCTTATGGGCTTGGTTGGTAACCAAACTATGTAAAGGAACATTTTGAATTCTAAGCAAACTGGAGAAAGTTGAGATGCGTCAGGATGTCTTGTTCAGGAAACACCACTACTGCCGTGGCTGCAGTACGTGCGGTGACCCTATAACCCTAAGAGGTTACAGTATTCGTGATCCTGAGTTTCGAGAAAAATACCCTGGTTTTGCGCAGGAACATACCGGACACACAATCCTGGGGGTAGTTAACGACTTGAACAAAACAATATCTGTCTATATTTCTGAGATGAGGTATTATGTATATTTTTTTTAATGCAATTCACCCCAAGCAAGGTGGGAGAGCCACTAGCATACAAGGGTTTACAGAGGATTGAGAACAAGAGTAAAGTGGCGTGTTTGAGGAAAGGATATAGTGGAGGACGGGGAACAAGCTCAGGGTGTCAGATGTCGATTGACATTGCACTTGAATATTTGAAGAATATACATTTGAAGAATGTATACATTATTTACATTCGGACTATTGTCCTCATCTTTGTCGCCATATTTACAACGTTTCGGCCGTTGTATGCTCCGGCCTTCTTCAGGTGGCTGGAATGTCGAACTGAACCGTTTATTTCGCTCACTGGAGTAGACTGTTCTAGTTCCATGTGCCATGTTTAGTGGATGTCAGTTATCAGTTATCTCCTGTTAATTTTCCCTCTGAAAGTTCTCCACTGCCTTAACCGGGTATTGAACTCTTTGGGTCTTGTCACTGGATCTAACCAACGCCTTTATCCACTGTGCCATGTGTCCTCAACTGAATAAGCCTAATTGACAATAATATTGATATATCATCATCTACCGTAAAGAAGAAAATGGCGCTGTGTCATGCCAGAAAGTTTTACTCATCTAAGTCCATCCGTCAAATCTATAAACCAACCATCCCTTTTGCATGGAATATTGCTGTGATATATGGTCTGGTGTTCCGCTATAGACTCGAGGTCCTCGACAAAATCCAGAGACGAATATGCAAGATGATAGGTCCTGATCTGGCATCTAGTCTACAATGGCTATCCCACAGACGTGTTGTGGTCTCCCTCTGTCTCTTCTACAACTGTTCTGACGAGCTGCTGTCGCTGGTTCCCGGACATGATTTTAAACGCGCTACCAGGCTAGCATCTAGGTCTCACCCTTTCACTGTCAAAACGATTAAATGAAACCGTCTCTTCTTCTCAAACAGCTTCTTCTCCCGCACTTCCCATCTGTGGAACACCCTTCCCCTTACTTGCTTCCCCGATGACTATAATCTTCAAATATTCAAGTGTAATGTCAATCGACATCTGACACCCTGAGTTTGTTCCCCGTCCTTCTCTGTATCCTTTCCTCAAACACGCCACTTTACTCTTGTTCTCAATCCTCTGTAAACCCTTGCATGCTAGTGGCTTTCCCACCTTGCTTGGGGTGAATTGCATTAAAAAAAATGTAATCTCATTGCAATATCTTGAGAAGTAGACTTCAGGTATCATTGAACAATCAGATCACTATAATAAAATTAACGTTTCTACT